TGACAGTTAGACAAACACTAAGGTCTTGATTGGTGCAAAATGCATTCGGAACACAATCCCACAAAACCAGAACTAACTCCTGGGAGTGACCTGAGGGCTGTAGAGCGAGTGGAGCTGGCAGCACAGAAACTAGGAGCCATTCCTCAGGGGAACTACAAAGCCACAATGGGTGAGGTGGGAGGCATCCATCAGAAGACCCAGGCTGTGTAACCCACCACAGCTGGGGCTGGTTTGGAATTGTGGTACAGGGCTGAGGCTTCCTCATGGAGGAGGGGGCACTGCCAAGCCACAGGATTTTCAGACTGGACTGCCTGGGTGAGGGACACTTTGGGAAAAGAGGAAGCGAAGGTCAGGATTTTTCAGCTTGAAGATGAGATTTACGAGCTATGGTAAATGGAGCTGCTGGGTGAGAGTGACAACAGTCAACTGGAAGGGGCCACATCATTGAATGATAGGGTCACCCAACCAACTCTCCAATTGGCACTGGGGGTGCCACAACCAACGCTAGCATCTGCGGCTGCAGAGCCATCTCCACTACTAGCTTAACCTATTCTGGAACCTGGATGGCTGGGGCTCCACAGGCAATGGAACCACCGCAGCAGACCTGCTGGGAACAGCAGTTGCAGAGAGTTTGTGAGCTTACGGTAAGGTTTGATGGAGAAGAGGCTGCCATTCTTCTTTGCCCAAGTAGTGGTGTTCATGAATGAGTGAGTGCACACTTTCCAGATGAGGCTTCAAAGGTGCGGTATGTAGCCACCCATTTTGAGGGAGAAGTGATACATTGGCTGGTGTAGCTCTATATCAAAAGAGCACTGGCTTTGAATGATCTGCAGGCCATCCTGGTGGGGTTAGGTATGAGGTTTGAAGATCTGTTCTCTAGAGAACTACACAGAGAGAGCTTATACACATGTGTAGGAGTTGGTGGCTGGTCTTGTTGCTTCCTTGCTTCTGCTTTAGTAAGCTCTGCTAAGGAGATTCACCAAATCTCAACTGTATCTTTTTGCTTTTTATTAAAACTTAATAGGGCAGAGAACAGTTAAAAGCAATGTTTAGTCTTATTGCATTTATGTCTTTTGATGGTGGTTGCTCTTCCACTCTTGCAGTTTGCCCCTTGATAGCAGGTGTCAGCCAGAGAAGCTTTTGTCTTTGCGGCTGCTGAGTTTTCCCTTTTAACTATTGAATTGATAATCAGGCAAAAAATATCTTCACCCAACAAACTTAGGGGCTCAACAGATGGCCTGAAAAGGGCAGCTCCATGTTGGTCCTGGGAGCGTCAGATTGGGGCTGTGGCAACTGCACGCTGCAGTCCTGATCTGGCACTTTGCTGCTCCTTTTTAGAGCGGCAAAAAGCCTCCCTTGCCACCACGGCAGTGGCTTTTCAACACTCCTTTGATGCAGTGTGTATGAATGCTGTGCCAAGGGAGTGCCCTGATGCTCCCTACCATCTGTTTGGGTGGGCAGTGTGAGGACGATGTGGAGGCAGAGTCGGGGTGGCTACTGTGTGGTCGCCATGCCCCCACTCCAACCCCACGCTGGCCCTTGTGGCCCCTTAGTTTTCCTAAAGCCAGACTGAAGCTGACAAAATATAATTATACTCAATGGAAATAGAGACTGGAAATTTATTTCTTGACACAAAATGTACCTCATTTTATTGAGATAAAAATACCATCAGGAGAAAAAGATAAGTTATTGTGGCTTCAGAAAGATTCAATAGGTAAACAAATAATTTAGGTACTATTAGGTGATGAACAATTAGCCTTTGTTCAATTTCAAGATAAATGTTTTTTAAACTTAAATAGCATTTTGGGAAGACATCTACTAAAAGTTTGATTGTGGCTATTAGGGAACTAATGAATCTCAAATTGAATGCAAAACAAGACTGTGAATCACATATTGCAAGAGCAATTGCACTCTTTAAGAAAATGATTGTGTCTTACTTTCAACTAACTGACCATTTTACTTATTGGAACACTGGGTCCACAGTTTGATACTTTTCCTTCTGCATTGGGTGGACTAGAAGGATTTACTTTTGATTATGCTTTAGCCAAATTAAGAGAGGCATGGATTATAGATCTTCATGCTATTTCCCTTGCAAGGACCCAAATGGCCAAATCGGAGCTTTGTTGTTACAACTGTGATAAGAAGGATCATATTTCAAGGAACTGCACTCTCCTAAAAAGGTCTTGAGCCAATAGCAGCTCTCCCCCTGCTGCATATTTTTGAAAACAATGGCAGTATGGCCAGGCTGATTCCAGCAACAAGTCTAATAGGCCACAAAGAGGGAGCAATTTTCTATGAGGAAGCGTTTTGGCAGTTGATGAGTATAAACAAAATGAAATAAATGGATAATAGACTCTGGGTACACATTGTGATACCTACTTGTTGAAACTGACAGAGATTTCAGGGGCTTGATTCCAATTGCTGATGGTACATCTGTGGAAATTTTTGCAAAAGGGCAATGTACTCTGAACTGTAAACTGCAGAATGTGGCAAATGATGTTCTTTACATTCCTGTTTTAACTGAAACATGCTTAGTGAGTCAACTTTGGATGAAAAATGAGTTGAAATTGTTTTTAAAGTTGAAATTGTTTTAATATGTACATTTTTTAAAGATACTGTTACATAAGCATGAGCTTTTGAGAATGATGGTATCTATGAGATAAGTCTTTCAGCTCATCAAGCAAATGTGGCTCAGACACATATGGAGCAGTGCAATCTCCAGCAGTGGGATCAAAGTTTTGCTCATCATTATACAAGGATGAGTCTTCTGCTACAGAACCAACATTTGTCCACAGGAGTTGAGATAAAGTTTCATGACTGTGAAAGCACTAACAGGTGCTTAGTTGTGTTGAACAAAATCATGCACAGTGACATGTGTGCATGTTTTTTTTAATGTGCCTGAAATGCTGGATATCATGTACAGTGACATATGTGCTTTTTTTTTTTTTAATGTGCCTTCAGCTAGTGGAAATATATATGTTCTAATAGACCACAAGGCTGCGAGTTCAATACTAGCCAGGGCTCAGGCTAGATTCAGGCCTACATCCTTCCGAGGTTGCTAAAATGAGTACCCAATTGTTGGGGAGCAATGAGCTTACAGTTGTAAACCGCTTAGACATCCCATAGCATGATATGAAGCGGTATAAATGAAGCTGCTGCTGCTGCTAATATTTGTGGATGATTTTTCAAGTATTGTGTTATTGCCTTCTGAAAGGTTCAAACCCAAGAGACGTATGTTGCCATGGTGAGAACCAAGTTTAGAGAACACCAAGGGCCCTCCAAACAATTGTGGGGAGTACATTTCAATTCAGTGCATCTAAGCTTTCTTGGCAGAATGTAGCATTCAGCACAGCAGAAGTGTTCTTTATACTCCTCAACAGAATGGGATTGCTGACTGAAAACTAAGATTTCTTCTGGATGCATAATGGCAGATGCATATTGGCAGAAGCTGATCTTACCAGCAGACTCTTGGGTGATATCATCATGACTGTAACATATGTCCAGAATAGATTGCCAGCTAAAGGCACCACACAAACAACATTTTAAATGTGACATGGCAGAGTGCCAAACATGCAGCACATTATAACGTTTGGGAGTCTTGCATTTTCATATATACCATTACAGAAGTGACACAAGCTAGATGCAAGATAGAATAATAGAACCATAGAAGCATAGAGTTGGAAGAGACCACAAGAATCATCTAGTCCAACCTCCTGCCATGCAGGAACTCACAATCAAAACACCCTAACAGATGGCCATCCAGCCTCTGTTTAAAAACCACCAAAGAAGGAGACTCTACAACACTCCTTGGAGTCCTGGATAAGTCTTGTTGACAGGGTCATGATGAGTTGAGGTTGACTCAAGGGCATTTATCAACAACAAAGCATCAGAGGACAGTATGTGGCACCCAAGAAGCCTACCTCCTCAGTGATGAGAACCAACATTTTGAAGTGTCAAAGATCCTAGACTCTGGATTTCACAAACTACAGTATTTTGTTCCATATATGCTGGCTATTTGCTGCAATAAATGAATTGAATTGAGTTGTTCCATGAAAACATTTGGCTACAGGAACAGGAATGGATAGACTCTAAACCCATGATGGTACCAGAGTTGATGAGGAAGTTCCATGCTTGCTATTCTGCACCCTGGTGATTATAAGCTAAGCACTGAATGTTTTGTGGGGGAAATAGTTAAGTACATTTTGCTTTGAGAAGGGTGAGTGTGTTTTTGGGGGGCAGGGGGAGAATGTCAGCATCTGAGTCACTTAGCTTGTCTGCCATAGCTGATAGAGACTCACTGGCTTGCAACACATTAATCTTTCGATAGCAGGACATGTGTTTTCTTGCATGGCAGGGGGTTGCACTTTAAGAAGGCAGTAAAGACGGATCTCTTCCGGCAGGCCTTCCCAGAATAATATCTGTCCATGGAGAGGGACAACTTGCTCATTGACCACTGACTCCGGATTGAGTTTTTAATTTATTCTTGTGTTGTTTTAATTATTTTTTGGTTTAATCTTGTTTTAAGGGGTGGGTGGAGGGATCATGTTTGGAGGGAATGTTTTTAACTGTGCTGTTTTAAAATGCTGTAACCCGCCCCGATTGCCTAGCAGAGGGGCGGGCTATAAATAAAACTTATTATTATTATTATTATTGGATGGCCCTTGTGGTCTCTTCCAACTCAAGATTTTATGATTCTATCATTAAGATCAGATTTTTAAAAATAAAATAAAGGAGGCAGAAGACTCAGGGGCAAAATTAATTATTTCTAGCTTGGCTAAAGGAGTCTTTATGATTAGGTTTGTATTGGCAAGCAGCCTCCATAAACATAAACTTTTTGCAAGCCACTTTTTATTGTTGTATGGCTTCAAGTCATTTCTGACTTACAGTGACCCTAAGGTAACCCTATCATGGGGTGTTCTTGGCAAGATTTGTTCAAAGGAGGTTTGTCTTTGCCTACCTGTGAGGATGAGAGAGTGCAACTTGCCCAAAGTCAATTTAAATGGCTGAGCAGGGATTTGAAACCTGGTCTCTAGAGTCATAGTCCAACACTCAAACCACTACACTACTTGAATATGATGCATCTGGTTTCACCTTGCCTTTACTCAGTAAAATATCTCCATCTTGACAGCTGGAGTAGATTTTTTGTCTTACCCTCTGTGTTGTGAGTGACACCTGTTATGAACCCAACTTACAGCTTTTCGTAATTTATGTCTGTAGCAATGGCTAAACATGGTCACAGGAAGCTACCTTATGGTTCTGTGGAGTTCAGGTTCAGTGAACTGATTATTTCCCTGTCCTGAGTCTGTTGATGGAGCTCTGATGCTTGGCTTCCAAGAGGTTCCTATGAAAGAAGCTCCTTCTGTGTAATAGTATGTTTTCCCAAGGCTGAGAACAGCTCCTTAGCATTCCATTGGCTTCTTTCATGTTGCCACTGCTTTAACTCTAAGCACTATGGTAAATCCAGCCTGGCTAAGAAAAGAGCCACTGTTCTCTCTGTTTTCCCATCCTCCTTGTTTGAATCAGCTTGAAATCTGAATGATTTGCGTATGGGGCATAGAGATCTGTTTTTGAGAAATTCTACAGATCTTATTTTACAATGTATGTATTTATAATGGTGTACATTTTAAAATGTCAAGACATGACTTCATCTTGTTCACTGCACAGGAATAATGAATAGCTTTATGGAATTTGAAAGGCAGAAGAATTACAACCACATCTAGAATGGGGAGGGCAGCCAGGATCTCTTGCTCCAGATTGAGAGGCATTATCAGGACCCTGTATTGGGAAATGAAGCAAGGGAATGCTGTGGGTGATTAGAAATACTCTGGGTGAGCAAGGCCAGAATTTTTCTTCTGCCCCACACAATCCCTCCTAATCCCATGTTTAATCCTGACCATTAGGAAAGTGTCTTAGTACAGCTTTTCCCAGCCTGGACCTCACCAGAACCTGACTGAGAATTTTAGTCCTACATATCCGGATGATGCCAGGCTGAGGGAAGACTGCCTTGGTAGAAAATAAAATAAATAAATTTTATTTGTACCCCGCCCCTCTGTCGAACAATTGGGGCAGCTTACAGTAGTTAAAATTCAGTACAACAGTACAATTTAGCTAACTTTGGATACTATGTACCTTTGACTTGCATGAGTGGCATGTGCCATATATGGCTTTGCCTAAAGCAGTAAACTCTCTTGTCCTGGCACTTTCCTCGATTTATCCCACAGCAATGAAAAACTAATATTCTATCTAAGAAAATGGGAAGGTTATGCCTTGTCTTAAATTAGCCAGCTTGATGGAATTTAGAAAGAAAAAAAAAAGTGGGGGTGGCTCTGAATGTAATTATGAAATTCATGTAAGTGCATGAATTGACTTTAAAAAAAAAAAATTGGATGCATTATTTATTCCCAGACTATTCACTGGGCCCTTAGTGTGCATACAATTAAGGTTACTGGGAGGTATGAGGTTTACCTACTGCTATGTTACTTGTCTTTATAAAGTAATATTTATGCTCTGTATATGAATTTGTAATTAAAGTTTTTTTTCCTTCCTCTACATAGGGTAAAACAGATGATCTGAGGTCCCTAATGTAAGGATGTGTTTAAAATATTGCATGTAATACTTAGAAAGTATCTCTGCCCTACTTCAAATTAAAAACAAAGTTGGTCTCATTGTCCATTTTTGGAAGAGATGCATGCCTTGTTTAATTTAACTGAGATTACAGGTATACCTCAGTTAACAAAGAAGATGTGTGCCTGGACTTTACTTGTTTAACAGAAACTTTGGTGCCATAGGTAGAAATAGCATGGAGAGAATAGGGTTAGGTTCCTACTCTACAAAAATATGAGCAGTTCAACATGTTACATCAAACTTTTTATGCAAAACTAACAATGTGAACATGTGAAATGAAACAACTAGATCAGGTAAGTCTTGTTTAAATAAACAAAAATGTTTCAAATGTTTTAGAGACCATTGTTCTTTCAACAGTCTCCATTTTTCTTATAATTTCCATTTTGGTGGTGAAACTTATAGACCTATCCTCTTTCAACATACTTGGGTAGCTAGCCAGGTAGGTTGATCTGTTTTGCTCCTCACACATGGCCAGTAAGTGATTCTCATGGTATCTATTTATCTTGTCTGTTGTGTGTAAGCTGTTAGCACACCCTGCATAGCCTTCATGGTATTCAGGGTCCCCAGCATGTTCATGAGAGGTCACAATGAACTTTGGGAACACTAGGTCAAGGACTTCTGGTCACATGGCATCACAGCAGGTCATGTAGCTCAACTCTGGAGCCACATAACTGGTCTGAAGTGGCATATCAGAAGAGGTAATGTTCCTCCTTAAGATTCCCTCCTTGAAAAAAGAGGGGGACCAGTGCAACTCCCAAGTGTGATCCATTGCAAGGCTTCTGGGAATTTTATTACTATCTGGAGATGGATGAGGGACTGAGGAGCATGCAAGCACAGTTACCCCAGACAGTCAGTCACTTTGTGATGTGGCTTTAGCAGTGGCGTGATAGCTTTTAAAATAAAAAAAGAAGAATACAATGATAAAGCAAGTAATCTACCAAGTTGAAACAATAAAACCCATCAACATCTATTTCTACAATATTAATAACAGAAGATATAAACAGCTTAAGAGAGAACAACTTCTCAATGGAGAGCTGGAAAGACAGTGTAATTGAGCAGCAGGAAGCACACAAGCAGAGGAAAGAAAAACTTTGAAAGAACTTGAAAAAAAAGATATTTTAAAATATAGACATGGGGGGGAAGCAGACGGGTGGCCCTAGGCTGCCCCCGAAAGCGGAGGATCGAGGCCGAGGCTGCTGGACCCCTCATCCTTGATCCTCCCTTTTGCTACCTGCAAAAGGAGTGCTAAAACAGCGCTCCTTCCGCAAGACATGAAAGGGGCAGCCAGGAAGACGTCATCAGAGCGACCGTCGTATGGATGGGCCATCACTCCAATGACATTCTCAGGAAGGGGATGGGGTGCCCAGTGTCTGGCTGCCTCTCCCCTTCCGGGGATTGAGGACGGCATTTCTTGCCATCTGCATCCCCCCCATAGATGGACTAATACAGATATGGACAAAGACAGAAATAGAGACAAGGAAATGAACAGCTAGGACTAAACAGAAAACTTCAATGGTAACAGTAGCAGCAACACAGCAGTAGAAGATTGGTGAAAAGGTGACAAGAGAAGGGAGAAATAAACAACTAGAATGGTGAGTAATTTACAGCTTAACAATTTCTTGCTGCCCAACTCCAGAAATAAAGAGACAAGAAACAAGAATGGGATGAAAACAAGGCCATTTATTAATTCACCTGTTTATTAACTTCTTAATGGAAATGCAACCAATTCAGTAGAATAACCAAGTGTGGGAGAAGCTGCATTCAGTGTCCTTCCCCAGACCACCTCTGCAGCTTATTTGGACAATAACATCTGAGCCCTCAACAATAACCCAAAAGCTGGGTTATTCGTTGGCTGGCCTGCATCAGGAAGTCTAACCAGAAAGTCCCTCTCCCAATCCGCTAAGATTAAAGAGTGGATTTATCTTTAAAGCCAGACCTAAGGGCAATTTCTTTCTGCCACCCTTGAGGTAGCAAGACCTAAAGAGGTGGTTCCAGAAATGTCCTTTCCACCCAAACAGTATCCAAAGTGCTAGCTGAAATATAATTCAATTATTTATGCACACCAAATTTGAATTCAATCATTTATTAGCCATTGCAGACCAGCCAAAAAGGCCGGCCTGAGGGTAGAGTTGGGGTGGGGCAGCCATATGCCAGCCACCCCAACCCTACCCCGACGCAGGACACCCTCCCAGCACAGTGTTTAAACATGCTTCCCTACCACCACCTCCTCTTCTGCCCCCCCATGTGGGCTTGCAATCTACAGATGCTAACATCCATGGATGGTAAGTCCGTGGATACAGAGGACAGACTGTATGATTCTCTGGCATAAGATACAATACAGAGAAAAATGTTTAAAGTTAAGAGGCATCCTTGAAGAACCTAAAGAGGATCCATATCAAAGGATGATTCCAATACTGGCAGACAACCCAGTACTGACACATCAAGATCTGGATCAAGGAATTGACAAAATCTTCAGAATAAACTCTGTAGGGAGAGAAAGAAAATTACCACATGACGTGGTCATTTGTTTTAATGGAACAAGACTTAAAGACATAATATTACAAAGAAAAAATGTAATATTACAAAGAAGTTATGAAGTAGACCTAAAAATAGAAGGTTACAAGATAAATATATATTGACAATAGAAGTTTTAAACAGAAAAATGAGAGAAGAAAATATCAATGAATCAACATCAAGGGACAAAGTTACAAATTAAAAGTTTTTGCAGATGATCTAGTTATCTTTCTTTAAAATCCACTAAATGAAATATAAAAATTATTAGAGCAATAAAATAATTTGATGAAATGGCTGGATTTAAAATAATAAAACAGTGATATTAACTAAAAATATGTCCAAAAAAAAAAAAAAAAAGAAAAGAAATATAATTAACGAAGAAAACAGAATTCAAAATAGAAAAGTAAGTATATTACTTGGGGATTTGGCTGATGAAAAGGAACATAGACTTATTTAATAACAACTGCAAAGAAAGTTGGAAAAAACTTAAATGTGATCTAGTAAATGGACCAAATTAAATCTAACTTTAGTGGGGATGATTTCAGCAATAAAATGAATATGCTACCAAAGATGTTTTTCCCCAAGATTTACCAGTTATAACAAATGAAAAACCATTCAAATTATAGCAAAAAGATTTATCAAAATTCATCTGGCCCAAGGGGAAAAAAATAGAGCAGGGGTTCCTGACCTTTTTGACTCATGGAGCCCTTATTTCTATATCAGACTCCTAAGAAGCCTGCCCTATGTTTAACAAGTTAATGGTGTTTAGGAGTATGAGAATATATTCTTATTCTTTAATTTCATTCAATTTTTATTTCTTTCATTTTCCTGGAGTGGCTGCAGAGCACCTGGGAAGTGCACATGGAGCCCTAAGGGCTCTTCAGAGCACAGGTTGGGAACCCCTGTCTTAGAGTGAAGTGGAAGATTCTTACAG